AAGCGGCTAAAATCACACAACTGTCTAATTTGCCCCTACTTGATTAAGTGACACAATTGTGTCATTTGGTGCAACCGGCTCAATTTGTACAACTGTCTCATTTGGCCCAACTGGCTCAAATCAGACAACTGTCTCATTTGGCCCAACTTAATCAAATGACACAACTGGCTCAAAACACATTTGCCTCATTTGACCTAACAGGCTCAAATCACACCACAGTGTCATTTGGCTCAAATCACAGAACTGTCTCGGAAATGTCTCATTTTGCCCAATCCACTCCACTCACATAAATGTCTCATTTGGCTTAACCAGCTCAAATGACACAATTGTCTCTTTTTGGCCTAACCAGCTCACATCCCAGAAATGTCTCACTTGGCCCAACTGGTTCAAATCACACAACAATCTCATCTGATCCAACCGGCTCAAATCACACAACTGTCTCATTTGGACAAACCAGATTAAATGACACAACTGTCTCATTTGGCACAACCGGTTCAACTTGTCTTATTTGGGCCAACCGACTTAAATCACACAACTGTGTCATTTGGCCTAACTGGCTCAAATCACACAACTGCCTCGTTTGGCCCAATCAGATCAAATGACACAACTGTCTCATTTGGCCCAACTGGCTCAAATCCCACAACCGCCTCATCTGACCCAACCGGCACAAATCACACAACTGTCTCATTTTGCCCAATCAGATCAAGTGACACAGGTGTCTCATTTGGCCCAACCGGCTCAAATCCCACAACCGTCTCATCTGACTCAAATCACACAACTGTCTTGTTTTGCCCAATCGACTTAAATCACACAACTGTCTCATTTGGCACAACTTGTCTCATTTGAGCCAACCAAATCTAACGACACAACAGTCTCATTTGGCCCAATCGACTTAAATCACACAACTTTCTCACCTGACCCAACTGGCTCATATCACACAACTGTCTCATCTGATACAACCGGCTCAAATCACACAACTGTCTCATTTGGACAAACCAGATTAAATGACACAACTGTCTCATTGTCATCTTGGCACAACCGGTTCAACTTGTCTTACTTGGGCCAACCAGATCAAATGACACAGTGGTCTCATTTGGCCCAACCGACTTAAATTACATAACTGTCTCATTTGGCCCAGCTGGTGCAAATCACACAACTGTCTCATTTGGCCTTAAACTGGCTCAAATAACACAATGTCTAATTTTGGCTGTCTCGTTTGGCCCAACCAGCTCAGTGCACACAACTGTCTTCTTTGGGTAACCGGATCAAATGACACAACTCGTCTCATTTGGGTCAACCAGATCAAATGACACAATTGTCTCATTGGCACCAACCGACCTAAGTCACACAACTGTCTCATTTGGCCTAACCGGATTAAATAACACAGCTGTCGCATTAAGATTCCTTGTTGTTCAAAGAACCATCTCGCGTTTGTGTTTTGGTAAGATGTAGCAAAAAACTGCAAATCCGTTTGCAGAAACATGACGGAAACGAACAACGGCGGAAATGTGCTGGCTTAAATATGACGGAAACGTGACTTGGCGTTTCCGTTCCGTTAACGTGACGGAAACACGTAGACTTTAATTTTCACGTTTCCGTAAGACGTAAACATAACGGAAACATGGAGTTGCATGTTTCCGCCACGTTTCAGAAATACGGAAACATGTGATTTCGTCCTGTGTGAGTTGCAAGCTTTCACTAAGTTAATGATGTCGTTCTTACTTACAACGAAGCTATTTCTTCGATCTTTTTCCACATATCCTTTGATAATAGCCCCACCTGAGGTGCCACCTAGGTTGAAGTAAGTAAATTCTCTCTTTTTGTGAATGCTCGCTGTTTCAACGTGTCGCTATATCCGAAGTTTCTAACTGTTGAATAGTCTCAGTAGAATAGTGATAAGCGCCATTGCTGAGCAAATACGTCTTTTCTCCAGTTTGGACCAATCATATTCACCATCAAGAGCTCACAGGCAAAAAAGGGGTTTTTTCTTTCGAAGCAGCGGCATTCTTCGAAGCCGTTCTTATGGCAGTCAAATGTTTCCTGATGTTCTTTCTGTTTTGGTTTCATCCGTCTTTTACTTGTCTTGACACCTTGTTTAATATATATATATATATATATATATATTTTTTTTTTTTTTACCAGCATGCTGGGTTGTGGGTGGCATACTTATAAGAAAAAGAGGCGCTTTGACCCCTCGTCACTCTCTGTTCCAGAAACTGCACTTGAAATACACTCGGAGTCTTGTAGGCCGATTTAAAATGCCAGTCGATATATCGACTGTAGACAATACTTCGGATGGTTTCTGTTAGTATTTCATTTCTCGCGTGGGAGAAACGATATTTGTATGAGGTAAAATGCCGAAAAACGCAGTCGGCGCAAGGTTATCTTCATGCGAGGTTAAATCAATCCTCTTTTTTTTTTTTTCAATAAAAATCTCCTCTTCTGGGGCGATGCGTCAACAAACGGGTTCAGCAGATTAGTATCCAAATTTCACCTATCTCAGTAATTTTTTCATTGGCAAGTAATAATTTTCTGACGTACTCTGAAAAAAAATTATCTTTAAATGAAAAAAAAGAGAAAAAACTCTTAAAGTGAAGATATAGAGAATATATTTACCACGTTACGTTTAAACAGATTCACAGAAAGAAAAGATAGATAGGTAACAAAGATAGTTAAAGTCCTGTTTTCGTCTGCAATTATTCAGTGAAGGGGAAGATGAAGTTGAGATGGATCAGCTGAACTTAAACACAGATGGATGGGAGATTGCAGTTGACCGCCTGATCCTTCGCGAGCATATTGGCAGAGGGGCATTTGGTTCAGTGTGGCGAGCGCTACTGGGTCGTTCCCGTGGTAGACCTGGAAATCGTACAGTTGCTGCCAAGTGCTACTTACGTAAGTACTTTTTTTTTGTCTTTCTTTCATACAAAGCTTGATCAAACTATCCTTTATTAATTTTTTGTGTTTCATCTTAATAGAGAGCATTTTTCTTAAAACACGCTTTGTTAACCTATTTGATACATAACAATTATAGCTTAAAGCTATGCGCTGTTAAAATGAATTATCAGCTGGCATGTCAAATAGTTAGCGGATGGTTCTCCGAGGGACCAGTCGTTAAGTCTTTTGTCATACAACGCCACAAACATTCAACAGAACACGAATATCATTTGGAGTACTAGAAGCTGTGGAGGCAAACGCAAATTTATTGATCAAATTGCATTCAAGGGTATAAAAGCGGAAAATACTACAATATTAAAAATTTCGGTCCACTTTCGCGCCACCTCCAATCACCCGCTGTTCACCTGTAACCTGATGTCGCATATTTTGCAAAGTTGCCCGCTTAGAAACTTTTGATGTGAAATCATGACTAGTGACCTCAGAGAAACCTAGAGAGGGTGAGCCTTAAGCGAAAAAATTGGAGCCATATGCCCATCTGGTGGTGGTAGTATGATCTTCTTCTGTTGGAAAAAGCTGGAAATCATAATGCAGTCGAACCTGCATCAAGCGGCATCGTATTAAGCGGTTACCCTGTGATAAGGGGTGGGTTTTCAATGCCCCAAAATTTTCTTCACTACTCGTAGTACTTTTTATACCAAGCGATTTTGGTCACCCATTACTATGTCCCAACAGCCTATTTGTAATGTTCCCTACCTGCACTGAACGGTCAATAAAGCGGAAGTACTCAAATAAAATTAAGAATAATTTTTCAAGTAAAATTTAATCCAAGCTAATCTCCCGAAATCAATGTTAGAAGTATTTTGGAGCGAGGTCATGTATGTTAAGTGGTCCGTGATGGCATAGAATGGCGATTTTTAATTTTTATCAATAATACTCCTATTCCGTGGAACCTTTATTAAACGGTCGACCCGTGCATGACCGCTAAATACAGGTTGGACTGTCTCAAGCTTACAGAGTCAAATGAATTTACAATAACTCTGGAAATGGTTATGAGTCTATGTAACATTTAATATGATAAAAGCAAGGATTATGTACCATGTGAACAGTAGGGAACAAGAAGGCGCAAATAAAGCGTATCTTAAAAAATTGTCTCAAATATCTATTCGACCGATTAGGTATTATAACAGGTGCGATTTCTAGGCTTAATTGCGTCTCTACTTTTTGTGAGTTGTCTGTAAAATAATTGCGCAGTTCTATGAGCTTGCCAGATGATAACAATTGCTCGGGATTTTCGGTAAGTATGGATTTTATGGGGTTTAGAAAACGAAATTTAATTTGTCTTATGCAGACCAAATGCATTGTAATTTCCGCCGATAGTTTAACACCAAGTATACAATACTTGCAAAAGTGGATGTTCACCACATAAGCAATTGTGTCTCTCATGACATGCAAATTTTTTTTGTATATTTTATTTTTCGTGGTTTCCTAGCAATCTCCGGAGAGAAAGGAAGGAAGGCCCTGCTGAGAGAGATCGAGTTATTAAAACTCTTTGGAAGGGAGGGCCATGAAAATGTTGTTAAGTTCATCGGTTGTGTTACAGTTGGAGGTAATCAGCTATTGTTATGATTATAATCAGCTAATTCACAGTAACGACGAAAAAACATATCTGACGTCAACCAGTATTGCTTAAATGGTGCACTAATTCAAGGGTTATTTCCATTTTTAGTCTAATCTAAAGAAATTTACTTCGCACTGTATGTAGGCCATTTTACTTGGAAGATTTAAGCTCTAAAATGTACATGCTAATTGTGATAATAGTTTTAACTTACGATGGCAAGTCTCTGTCTTTTCATCTGCCATCCCTATTTTTCTGTCTTTCTGTTTATCTGTCTGTCTGTCCATCTGTCTATGCGTTTGTCTCTATTTCTCTATCTGCTGTGTGTCCATCCGTTTTCTATCTGCGTTTTTTTCTTCTTTGAATTTCCCTCTCTATCTCAGATATAACCAAATGTAAATGTAAAATGTAAAATGTACAACTAGATAAACCATGTACATTTCAAACACATTTTGGAACTTCTGCACTGCTTGCCATATAATAATTTTCTTGTTTTTCCCTCTTAGCTCAGCCAATACTTATCATGGAGTACCTGTGGCGAGGTGACTTGCTGGGCTATCTCAGAAAATCCAGGGGTGTTTTCGACCAATATCATCATGGAGTCGGAAGGGTCGACCACTTGACAACGTATGACATGGTGCTGTTTGCTAAACAGATCGCACATGGTATGACTTTCCTCGCGTCCAGAGGGGTAAGTGCTCGAACTCTTCCGGGTTGTGGTCCTGCATGTGTTAAAATGGCATGACTTGCAATTCATGAGTAGAATACGCTGTACGGCTAAAAAGATCCAGCACATTAGAATCACTATTCCACCGAGAAATGGTCTTACATGACCATGACGTTAAACTTTCTACCTATATTTTATTTTTTTATTCTATGTAGTTTATCAAAGTCCCTTTTACCAGATCATGTCATTTTTTTTTCGATTTCAGATAATTCATCGCGATCTTGCAGCTCGTAACATCCTTCTTGACGAGCATCGTGTCTGCAAGTTGACTGACTTTGGGCTCTCTTATCAGGATTTCAAATACGGCCCAGGAAATGCCAAGAGGGTAATTTTCAAAATTTTTAATCATTAAGTCAATTGGTTTTGGGGCAGCTAGTATGGAAGATAAAAATGTGAAGAATTAAAATATTACTGTCCTCACAAACCTTTCTTTTCAGTTATACAGTTTTACTGCAAACATATTTCCCTTCAATGGGAAGCCGTTCTAAGCGTATCGAAACTTTCACAGAAGAAAATTGTACCTAGGGAGTGAACACAGGAAATAAGAAAGCTGGAAGAGATATCGTTCTCTGAATAGCAAAGATACAAAATCGAAAGGCAAAGAAACAGGAGATTTAAAGGAAAAGGAGTGTGTGAATTATTTATACAGAATTTGTACAGAGGTGTCTACTGCTCTTGACTTTCTCATGAATCCGTACATCACAGTTTTAATCTTATATGCAAAATATTTTAGAAGTTGTATACAAGCCTCTTTAGATTTCAGACGTTTATAGTATTTTGGTTACTCATCCAGGGCTGTATCCCAATCAAATGGACTGCACCCGAGATTCTCTTTGGACATGTGGAACAGCTGTCAACCAAAAGCGATGTGTACGTACTATATTGGTTAATATCCACATATATTCCAAGAGAGAACATTTTTACGATTCTACCTTAACTTAGCGAGGAGGAAAACTAGAATATTCAGTGCTCTATTGATTAGAGGGTCATTAGGAAACGTCAAGCTGGGGAACAGCTGAGGTTACAGCTGTAGTAGGAGACTTAACATGAATATTAAGTTTAACGAGCAATATCCAAAATCTGATTAGGATAAGAACAGACGGATGAAAGGATGAGTGGATAATCAAACAAATAAATATGGCGTTTTCTGTTAAGGAGGTTGCCTACGTCTTGATGGCATGTTTTTAAACATCCCAAGTATCTGAGTGATTGTTATCTTTCTACCCTTGTTGAGATATATCATCATCCTTTTATTTCTTTGACAGGTGGTCCTACGGCATCGTCCTGTATGAAATCTTCACTGTCGGTACTTAACTTATTTGTTACTTTACATTCAGGAAATATACCTGCCGAGATTTCACGCACAATTACTAATTGATGGGTGATACCGAGCGGACGAAAGAGCATTGTGCGATAGAGAAGTTGAAGCAATACTCAATGTCGCTGATAAATAAGATTATGACGATGCATAACAACTTGACATAAAACTTAAGTTTAAGTAGAACCGATAGTATTTAGTACATTATTGAAAAAGCTTAAACCATCGCTACACTTAAATTTATTTTTTTACAGTACTCTTTCATCTGATGTAAAACCGAAATGAATTTCAGTAATTAATTGTCATTTTCACAGAAGAATCATTTCGATCGCGCCGAGAGGAATGAAAGTGATAACAACAAAAAGTGTGCTTTTTTGGGGAAGAGAAAAAAACATTATTTTTCCACAGGAGGCATTCCTTACGAAGGATGGTCTCAGTCCACGACAATGAAAAAAAAAAATCGAAGAAGGTTATCGTCTGCCAAAGCCTGAACATATCGACGACAGTTTGTAAGTGTTGCTTCCTCTGTGTGGAATGTTATATAAGTCAAGAGCAATATCGATTGCTGCTGTGGTCAGGTGTTTTTGATGCACTCGGCCTGAATAAGAAGCCTTCCTAAAAAATTAATTTTATCTTGTCAATACACAAATTAAAATGAAAAGTTGTTGAGTCAAGTAAAGAATACGGTGGGTTTTTCGTCCCAGAATTCGTTTGAGCTGCGATGTAGTGAGATAAAATTAGCATTTCAGGTATTTTTGTAACTAGTTGTATCCTATCGCGGAATTACTGTGATCATATGTCCCTCTGTTTTTCTGTAGATACGCGGTGATGTTAAACTGCTGGAAATACGAAAGCGCCAGCCGGCCACACTTTGTGAAGCTCTACCAAACAATGGATACGTATATTAAAACAAAGGTATGCCATACAGCGTCTGATTCAGGATATACTTCAGCAATTGAAATTGGTATCCTAACAAGTCAATTGCGAATTTCTTTTCACGTCAATGTGGTATCAAAACGCATTTACTACCCAGCCGCTAACAATTTGTGAATTCAGTTTCATCATGAACCAATGTTACTTTTAAACATATGTGAGTGTGGTTACGTTATGTCAGTCTGGATCATCCTTATTTTCCCATTGTTGTCTACACACAAGAAAGAACGGAACAGATCTTAAAATAACACTTTTGGAAAACTTTGACAGAATGGAAGACCTTACCTGACTTTTATTCTTATCAATTCATGCAAGTACTCATGGTTCTTGTCTTTGTGATCGATATCTGATCTGCTTTTTTTGTCTTTTTAGTGACTTGTTTTTGGAATTTCTTTGTTGAATTTTTTTGAAATTCATTCGTTCAAGATTTTTTAACTCATGCAGTTCCTGATTACCTTCTAATCTTTTCATAGACATATGTAGATATCTTTGACGATGACAAGTATGATCAGGATAAGTACAACTTTGTCGATGACCGTGGAGCTGTTGCAAACCCAGAAGATGCAGGAGCGGACGAGCTAGGAGCAGCTGCAGCAAATCCCATTGGTGAAGTGGGTGAACACGGTGCTACGGCACATTCCTTTGTGGTTGCAATAGACGATGGTGCCCAAGCTTTCCCTTTCGCTATTAACGTACCAGAGAGAGGGCAGCTGCAGCAAATCTCGCCCATGAAGTGGGTAAGCACGGTGCTGCTGCACATCCCTTTGTGGTTGCAATTGACGATGGTGCTACAGCTTTCCCTTCGCTATTAACTTACAAAACAAAGGGGCAGCTGCAGCAAATCTCGCCCATGAAGTGGGTAAGCACGGTGCTGCTGCACATTCCTTTGTGGTTGCAATTGACGATGGTGCTACAGCTTTCCCCTTCGCTATTAACTTACAAAACAAAGGGGCAGCTGCAGGAAATCTCGCCCATGAAGTGGGTAAGCACGGTGCTGCTGCACATCCCTTTGTGGTTGCAATTGACGATGGTGCTACAGCTTTCCCCTTCGCTATTAACTTACAAAACAAAGGGGCAGCTGCAGGAAATCTCGCCCGTGAAGTGGGTAAGCACGGTGCTGCTGCACATCCCTTTGTGGTTGCAATTGACGATGGTGCTACAGCTTTCCCCTTCGCTATTAACTTACAAAACAAAGGGGCAGCTGCAGGAAATCTCGCCCGTGAAGTGGGTAAGCACGGTGCTGCTGCACATCCCTTTGTGGTTGCAATTGACGATGGTGCTACAGCTTTCCCCTTCGCTATTAACTTACAAGACAAAGGGGCAGCTGCAGGAAATCTCGCCCATGAAGTGGGTAAGCACGGTGCTGCTGCACATCCCTTTGTGGTTGCAATTGACGATGGTGCTACAGCTTTCCCCTTCGCTATTAACTTACAAGACAAAGGGCAGCTGCAGGAAATCTCGCTTGTGAAGTGGGTAAGTACAGTGCTACGGCACATCCCTCTATGGCTGGAATTGACGATGGTGCTACAGCTTTCCCTCTCGGAATCAAAGTAGAAGAAGGAGGTTGCGCAGCATACCCTTTGAGAGTGATAAGAAAGATATGGATGCCCAAGCGTACCTTTTGGAGAGTGATACTTTACCATACCTTAGCGAGAGCGAGGAAGAAGATGTTGATGACTCGAGTGCCCTCTTGCGATTGACGAAGAAGAAATTGACGACCCAAGTGCCCTTTTGCGATTGAGGAAGAAGAAATTGACCCTTTACCATCCTCCCTGGTGATGGACGAAAACGGTCTAGCTGCTTCAGCATGTCCCCTTGTGACTGACGAAGAAAATTCTGATTCTTTAGCATGCCCCCTTGTGGTTGAGGAAGAAGATTCCAATAACTCAGCATGCTCCCCTGTACCTGGGGAAGAAGATTTGGAAGCCTCAGGATGCCTTTCTGTTACTGAAAAAGAAGATCCTACCTCTTTCGCACGCTCCGCAAATGAGGTGAACAAACCCGATGCCTCACCATTCCCTTGTGTGATCGAAGAAGATCTTGATTCTTTGGAATACAATCCTCTGATCGAAAAAGAAGGCCTCAGTGATTCCGTCTTCCCTCCAGAAATTCAAACTGATGACGAAGAAGGTGTAACAAGTGAACCTGAAAATACCGTTGGTTATGAAGGTGCTGTAGCAGTTCAATCTGAAAAGGAGGCAGTAGAAGAAGAACCTAAGACCTGCCAACTAGAGTACACGAAGGATAAACAAGACGATCTTGGAAACTATATGGACGACCAAAGTGATGCTGTAGACTTTCTTGACGGTAAGGCTAGCGTACAAGAGTATGATGGTAATCAACTTACTGCTGCGGATACAGACGAAACCGGAAGTGACGAAGACGAGGAGTCATCTGAAGCAACTCCTCTTGTGCAGGACTGAGGCTTTACAGCAGAATTGCTGAACCTCTAAGGTTGTTGTCTTATAACACTCTATGGTAATTTGTAGTTATATTTCGAGAACTTTAGCCTCAACATTTCATAGTTTTTGATTTTAAGACGTTGGTTTTATCGTACTTTTACTTTAGTAATGCTTTGGTAGTGATGATAACCATTTTCATAGTTTATAAATGGAGGTTAAGTGGAATTTCCTTCAAAGAAAAAACTTGTTTATTTACTTCACTTTTGCATTTCTTAGTTTACCGTTTATTCACTTGGTGCACTTTTCAGTGCTTTGTTGATGTTATTGACTGTAGGCTGATAGAGACAAAAAAAAAACAAAAAAAAAAGAAATTACTGTTAAGATAATTTTTATAACTGATCAAGTCAGAAATGCTGCGTAAGTTTGTGAGTGTTGTTCCTAGTATAAGTAATATTTCCTAATCTAATTAAGAATAATTTACTTGTTGTAAAGCACTCCCTAAATGCTTCAATAAACTTATATAAGCTAAACTCGTTTCGTTTACTCCATTCATTGCAGCAAAATTGCTGGTCTGGATCTAATTGTCGATTTGAAGGACACCATAAACTAAAATGACATTTAATTAGGCTCCTTCAAAGAGTAAGATTGACGAAAATCCAGTAGCGCTGCGTTAGTTCTGATTAGTGTATATATTTTTCTATCCCCAGCTTACGCTCGCTTAGCAACCAAAAGTAGCATATTTTTAGCGTATTATTAACCCAATACATTTTATCTTTTTTGTAGACAGCTACTGACTCACGGGCCTTTTCAATCGAGTTCTCTACTCCAATTTGTTGATTAGATGGGCGGTAGTAAGCTGATTAGTCTTGAATGTTAAAATTTCACATCACTGCTTCTAATCATTGTCTGAGAAAGTGTTTTAAAAAGTTTGAAACATAGATGAACCCATTCTGATGATTCTTACTGCAGAAGTTGGCCTAAAAAGATATTTCAAGTGCCAGGATAGCATTGTTTTCTATTTTTTATCTCCACAGTTTCAGATATTTCGGCGTCTCGGGATATTGTGTTTGAATGTTGTTGATATTAATCATGCCTTTCTGGTGCACTTCGGCGGCAAATCTGTCGTGTTTAATCGAGCAATGGATTGCGTTTTCGAGAAACACAGTCTAGCTAGTATAATAATGGATTCTCATTTAATCATTTTTCAGTTTTGTTTTTACCTCGGGAACTTACATA